AGCTGGGTGAAGAGGAGTGCCAACTCATTTGCAGATGGGTTGGCCAAGCAAGGAGTGAATAGGGAGTCTGTTTTTTGGGCTAGTTTTTAATCTTTTCTCTTTGCACTCCCTTTGTTTTCTGTTTTTGGGGAGCTAAGATATTTTATGTCCCCTTTTGTATTCATATTCCCTCTTTTCTTTTAATTTAATGAAGCTGGTGTTATTGATAAAAAAAAGAATTATTATAAATTTTGTGTGGGAGGAAAATGGTTTCATGTTCTGGAACTTTTATTTTTCTTTTTTTGGTTTCTGTTACTTGGCCCATGCCCCTTTCATGTTCTTTGGTTTCTTTGGTGTAGTCAGCAACTCACTGAACTTGGATATTGCATGTGGTTTTCATTTTATTGATGGAAAGTTCATATATAAATCTGATACTAATAGTAAAATGACAAAATCCTATATTGTTTTCATCTGTTATAATTTGCATTTGATTATATGCATAAACTGGTTTTAATGGATTCTAATTTGGAAGAACCTCAGGGCTCTGGAGCATCTTATCCTGTGCAATACTTACACCGAAGATTCAACACCAGCCCTCCATATGATTAGGTACTTAATGATGTCTGCTTATCAATATGATATGCTTTGTTTGGAGAACGGCTTTGATCAGCTAGACTCTTATTTGCAGGAAATATCTTCTAGAGGCTACAAAAGAAGCTACAATTGCATACAATAAAGCGGTAATGATGACTAAGGTTTTTTTTGGTTGCTATTGCACATACTAGTAGTGTTCTTATGTTTGTAGAAAATTGTTGCATATGACTGCAGGTTTATGTTGATAGATTACTTGAGCTTCTTGGGGATGGGTTAGGATTGTTGTTAACTTGTTATGTGAAATTTTATTTGTTTGTTATTTAGTCATTTGAAACCTTTTGAAGTACCCTTATGTGGAAGAACAGAGGAGCCGAATTTAGGTAATCTGCTTGAAGGTGGCTTCTCAACTAGCCACCTTTTAATGTGCCATTGTCTACATCAACCCCATATACAGCTTCAGTTGGTTTTATGCACTACCCTATAGGTTGCTCGAGCTCAAGTTTTGAAAGAAAAAACTTTCCACTTTTTGTGAGGTTGGTGGGGCTATTTTGCTCCAAGTTGACAATAGGAATGCTAGGTATCAGATATGCGTGCATCTCCTTTTGGTTTCACCTTGGGCTGCTGCCCTCGAAATGTCAGGTCTGTTCAGTCCTTCCCTGGTCTACTGTTTAGAAAACCCTCTACTAATTTCTTCTTTTGATTCATTTAGCTGCATAAATGTTTAGCTGTGTACGGAGATGGATAATACAACAATTTAGGTAACTATCTTATTTTTCTGGCTAGCTTTACTAAGTCTTTAGAAGTGTTGTATGGGAAGGGTGTTGATGGCGGACTTCAGTGGTACTGAAAGTTTAGGTGACAATAATACTTGCAATTTTGTCAAAAAGGGTATGCATATTTGGTTTTCCCTTACATCTGGTCCTGCAGATCTAAGGAATTCTTCAAAAAGGGTAGAAGTCATACAGTTTCTTAACTTACAGTAAACAGGCATGTGGACTTGGCGTTACCAACAGCCAAAATATTCATTGCTTTTCTACCATTCTTGAACTTTCTGAGACGCAAAATATCCAAGCCAAGTCTTCTTTTCTCATGTCTCCCTGTCTGTGTGCGTATACAAGCATCTATGCATTCACACATCCACACTTGCACCACTCACACACAAACACAGTCGCACATTTTTGGTTTCTCATCATCTGAAGAACATGCTTTTATCCTGCATCAGGTTACACGCCTTCGTGAGTATCAGGGTGTTGATCCTCATTTCGATACAATTGCGAAGCAATACCAAGATATTGTAAAGGTAGCTTCAGTCTCACAGACAGTTTATCTTGCTCAGCTTACATATATATGCTAATTTCATTATTTTAACAGAAATTAGAAGGTATGCAATGGACAATTCACCAAGTTGAAATGGACCTGAACCGCTCGCCAGAGAATTAGAGCACATGAATTTCTTGCCCCACCAAAACTTTCTCTTCCTAGTGGATTACAATTTAGGAATTTCAATTATTACCATATTCAATTCGTGTGCAGACTGCGATCTTGTGTAATAAAGACGGTACTTTTTTTAAGCACAAGTGCTTATTTCAACCAAGATTTCCAACAAAGAAAAAATAATTCTCTTTCTTTTTCTTCTCAGCAATAATGGTCTAAATTCTAAACGGTGGTTGGCTCCCGGGCCACCTGTTTGATAAATTGCTTAGCTTGTGATGTCACATGTCAAGGCATTCATGCATTATATGTTTATCCAAGTAGAGTATGATCTTGCGTCACGACAAGCAAATCCAGTTCCTCTTCCTGAATTTATTTTTACCCTATTGACAGCGTTCACCATTTAACCTATTGATCTTTCCAGATGATTTGCTTTTTTAAAGGATTGTTCAATGTTTGTGGATGTGATTCCAATGGCGAGCTTTGTCAACTGCTGTGCGGTGTGGAGTCTGTGGACTCGGATCATAGCATAGCCTGCAGTAACTGTTGGCAGTTGTTGGGTCCCATGTTCACCGATTGGATCCGATCATCTGAATTTGAAGTGAGCAGGAAGAGTTGGATTTATCCAACAAAACTAGAGCCAGAGTCCAGAGAGACGTGAATTTCATTGCATCGTCACTCGTCAGATTATTATTGGATGAGAATCATGAGACCATCGTTATGGGCCCATTGCTTATTGCTTAGGTGGTTTTACGAATATTTGTGAACCACGGCACGCGACCTAAGAAAATTCGGATGCCGATAAGAGAGAAATTGAATTAGGGTACATATTCTCGAACGGCCGGTCACGGCCTCACGGTTACGAGTAGACGACTCCAGATTCTTCCAGTCTTCTTTTGCGCGAAAGTGGGTCCCATTTTCGGTTCTACAATTCTACTTCGAATGAAAGCCATAGAAGGTGCGTGAAACTTACGTACTAATTATCTTAATCTAATACACTAATTGTCAATCATCGTGCGAAACCACTGGAGTAGATTACTCAATCAGAGCCGTCCAAACATTACGACCAGGCTCAAGGAAACCAATTAACCGAAGTACCAACCGCCTCAACTCTAACTCAACTGCGGGTTAGATTGTCTGGCCATGAGGACACGCTATAAATATGCCTCAACTCAGAGCTCTGAAAATTATTCGTTCCATTGGCTGCCTTGCGTTCTCCTTCTGTTTTCTGCATCAGGTATGAACTTCTATCTCCGTATTCTCTTCCTTCCTTCCGCAGTCTCGTCCCGTTATTGGATTTCTGATTCTTTTTAGGTTTTTGAATTCTATCTTTGAGCTTTGACTTGTTGGCTCGTATGTGTTTGATCTCTGTTGTCGAAAACATATGATTTATATCGATAGAAATCTTTCTAAGAGTGTTCTTAGGTTGCCTTTTCTCTTGTTGTCATTTGTAAAGATTATGTTTGCGAAGTTCTGATGATTGGTTTTTTTAATCTTTTCTATATATGGGTTTGGATTTTATTGTCTCTATACTCTATTGTTTTGTTGTTGTGATGATCTTTTTATTTGATGATGGTGATGATGATGATTCCTCCGTTCGTTCTATTTGGTTGCACTGTTGTACCTTTTCTTTATATTGGTTTTTTGTTCTATTAAATTGTGAACTCGTATGTTTAGTTGATTCTTGTGATTATTATTTTTTTCTCTTGCAAAAGGGATTATATTAGAGTATTAGACTATTTTCAAGTGTATCCCTACTTCCCATATGTGGAATTTGATCAGGTGAAAGCAGACCGACTTTACGCAAGATTGTTTAATTTGGTGGAGTTATTCTTGTTTTTTTCCTTTGCTCTGTTCTTCAATATGGAGGTCGGGGTAGTTGGGGCGTTTACGAGTAATTGTTTCTTGTTTTCTCCTTTTGTGATTTAGAAGGATTTAGATGAAATAGATTTGATGCTTCTGCGACTAAATTCCCAACCTTGCCTGTGCACGCTAAATAGAAATTGCTCAATTAGAGTACTACTATTGAATATTGATCTTTTACTCTTCCATGCATTCCTTCTGTCGAGATGTCATCCATGGTTTTCTCCACATGTGCTGTTCAGTTTTTTAAGCTATAGATTTATTTTTACCTCTATTATTGTTCTATTTTTGCTGACGGATTCCCTCTTGGTCCTTCCTCAGCTTCTTTGTGTTGTGCGTAATATCAGTGACCAACTACTTTCTACTAATCAATCTTTCATCAGTCAAAGTACATGGTTGAATTAGACATCCAGATTCCTTCTGCTTTTGGTACGTTTCTTAAGCCACAACTTTCTCTAGGGTTACTTTTATTTGTTGTACTCATTTTTATTGATTGGTTTGCTTGTAGTATGCATTGAATTCTGAAAAATTAATGGCATTGAACGAGGAAATATTGCTATTAAATTATGAGACTGATTAATTGTTACTTGAGGTCTATTAACAAGTTGGTGTCATGCGCATGAATGAAGTATGTTGTTATATACATTGGGCCATCTAGGGTGCTGACTATTGTTGTGGGTGCAGATCCATTCTTTGAGGCTAAGGACTCAGGAGCCCCTGGGGCGAAGGAGTATGTACACATCCGCATACAGCAGAGAAATGGAAAGAAAAGCCTGACAACAGTGCAAGGGCTGAAGAAAACGTTCAGCTACGAGAAGATCCTTAAAGACCTCAAAAAGGAATTTTGCTGCAATGGTACAGTTGTGCCAGACGAGGAATTGGGGGGCAAGGTACAATATACGTCAACGTCATACCATTACAATGCTACTGCTTGAATCCTTGTTCCTTGGCTCAAGTAAAATGCTACACCCAAGGGGAAATGTGTGATTAATATGGTTTTGGTGTTGTTCTGCACAGGTTATTCAACTTCAAGGGGATCAACGAAAGAACGTGTCAAATTTCCTTGTTAAGGCTGGCATTGTGAAGAAGGAGCAGATCAAGATACATGGTTTCTGAGAGCTTTATTCAATACATATATTAGTGCTTGTAGTTGTGGGTATGTCATGGGAGATATTAGGTATATGGGATAACTGCGTTTGATGGTTTGATCCTCGTATGCTCAGAGTCCTAGTTGGGTCTTTTCTTGTGTTCTTTTTGAGTCAGGTTGAGGTGGGGGGTCTGAGGCCTTTGCTCTCCTTACATATATTTATGTTGTAGGCGAGTTACTGGTTACTATGGGATGTAATGAATCATTGATCTCTGTTGTTTTGAATAAACACCATTATTACTTAAAGCACGATCATTTTATTTTTCTGTTTCATCATTTTCTTTCCCAGTACAGAATTGGTTGCCTGTTTAATGACACGTAATTATTATTTCTGGGTTGATGCCCCTCATCTTTGTCCATAAGGCTGTATTTGGTTTGGCTTTCATACAAAACAAGAGGTCTCAACTTGTTCACGAACCTCTAGCCTCCAGTCCCTTCCATACAGCACAGTACTGTTCCTCGTTGCAGAGGAAGTGAATGGCTGGAAGCTATTATTGTTAAAAATTCCTTGCGTAAGTTTAGTCATCCTATTTTGCCTACGGAGCAAAAATTGAAGTTCACACTGTTATAGGCCTTGTTGACCTTTGGTTCCAAAAGCGGCAGTCCATGGCACCTTGTGAAGCTGACTGGGATCAGCCGTCAAACATATGCTTGATTTGTTGTGAAGTGCTCCACTGCGTACATCAGATCCGAGCTTGTTTGCAGCTTCTCCTCTATGCTCTATTCAAACCTCAAAGCAGAAGAAGAGTCCACTTTCAAGACATCCAACTTGGAGTCTCATCTAACCGCTACCAGAGTCCACGATAAAGTTCTTAGCTTCTTATTTATTACAAGTTCTGTTTACAATATTATTTAACTTGAACCAAAGGCTCGCAGAGGTCTAGTATTTCATTTATAGAGGATGAAGCTCTCTGTCTCAGCATAGATCTGTTGACCCAAAAGCTTTGGTTGCTGCCTCTGAATCTGATATGGACACCTGCCAGCCCACATTCAAGCCACATTCAGAGATTTATGCTTGAAGCAGCACGTGATGTTCATGCAGTAGTATCACCGATTGGGTTGCATCCTATCATATTAATATACAATAAAATATACCTTAGTAAATAATTGTATGTGTGAGCTGTATGACAGCTGAGACCGTTGTAACGACCAGTGTCAGCGGACACTATTAAAGGCCTGGCTCACCTCATTATGAACATGAACAGAAATATTCCCTTTTTCAATTGTCTTTCTTCCTCTTGAGCGGTGAACGTTCACCATAGCTCGGGGGCGCAAACCGAACTCTTCTCGCCGTCGGGAAGAGTTTGATATCAATCTGGAATCAGAGCGCCAGATTTTGGACGACGGAATGGACGGACTAGAACAAAGGGTGGTGGACACTGAACGTCGGCTGGACACTATTGATCGGAGGCTAGAAGAAATTGTTGTTCAGCTGCAACGACTTTCTTCTCAGGAGGGATCCAGTCGACAGGTCCCAGCCAACACACCACCTGTAGATGAGGGCTCCCAAGGGATTGGGCAAGGTAGCTACCAACGCCGATTAAAGGTGGATATCCCTCGTTTCTCAGGGAACAACCTCGATGGGTGGCTTCTGTTTGTCCGCCAATATTTTGAGCTGCAAGGGATGCAGGAGGAGCAGTGGGTGCAGGTAGCCAGTGGAGATAGGGGTGAGCATTCGGTTTATTCCGTTAAAAATCGAATTTTTTAAAACCGAAATATTAAAATGAAAACCGAAACCGATTTTCAATAAAACCAAAATAACCGAACCAAAATTTTTGGTTTTAGTTATTGATGTTGTGTAATCCAGGCACTCTTGGCTCCTGATCGGCGACAGACGATATTTGAGAAGAAGACGATGAAGGATTTCCGGGGGACTTGCCCGATAGGAATACTCCGATGCTTAAGTTAGAATGTTGGAGAAAGCATTAAAGAGTGCAAAGAAGGCTAAAAGTGTAGGTCGCGCTAGATCACTGAGTATTCGAGATTAGCTCGAGATAAAGATCAGATATGTTCAAGATCCCTTTTCCCCTTTGACCACGGGGCTCTTAAATATGAGTGTTCTTGTCAAATCAGGCGTAATTGCCACTGGACCTCTGTTGCAGCCGTTATCTGTCAGGGCTGCGCAGGTAACCGTTGCAAAGTACTACCCAATCGGATGAGAACACGTCTCAGAAGGACAGACACGCCACCATCTATCGAGAGACGTGGGTGCAGTTTGTCGGGCTGGCAGGGACTGCGCCGTCAGTCAGGAGACGTGGTGCAATCTGACGGGTACGGTCTAGTTAGTTAGAAGCTTCCTGAAAACATCGTGTCGCTTAGTAGCGAGTTGCCTTGTATCGAACTATCCTATTGCGAGCTACCTTGTAGCGAGCTCCTAGGGGTACCTCGAGGTGATTCCTCTTGAGGTTGCCTTTGGGGCAGTTCCTTTGCTTGAGTATCGGAGCGAGCTGGTTATCCTCGCTCGCGAGCTGGGATAGACTTGTCTTGGAGTATTCCCTTTTAGTACGTCGGGGGTCCATGAGCTCGCGCTGTAGCAAGCTCACCCTGTGGTGAGCTGTGACGTAGCGAGCTGCCCTGCGGGCTCGTTACTTAGTCGTGGTCAGGCCGTTGTGCTGAGCTGTTACTTGTGCTGAGTCATGTCCACGTGTCACCATCTCAAGGGGTCGGGTCAAATCACCCTCCATCAATTGCCCCCCACTCCTCGGGCTAAGGGTGCTACATTAGCGTGAGGAGTTCATGAAGTGTGACGGGTGGATTTGACCCGAAGTTCAAACTTGATTGACTGATTGCATTAAATGCGCGCACAGAAGTCAGGGGGTCTCTAGACCTTTTGAATGCCAAAAAACGTGCCGAAGTGGCTCTCAATTCTGGAAGACGTGCAGCTGTCATTACCTTAATCATGGGAGACGTGCAACCAGTCACGTTTCAGCTTCAGGAGGCGGGCGGTCAGCTTGACTGTGAACCGTCAGTTCTGTTTTAATCTGAGCCGTCGGTTTGAGGGCACAGTGGCTATAAATAGGAGGGCCTCAGGCCTCATTTCTTTTACGCTAACTTGCCTTGCTTTCGGATCTTGAGGTCACGTCTTCATCTAGCTGCCTGAGCTCTTCTTCTGTTCACACCGTCTTTTCGGTTCATCTTTTCCCTGGTGAGTCTTATCATTTTGTCAATATGTTTGGGTATCCGTACCACGTCTTTTCCGGGGGTGATGACCAAGATGACACCTGCTCGAGCTCAGGGGGAGCTTGGGGGCAGGCTCCGGAAGCTCGGGAGGCTTCTGGCGAAACTGCTTCTACCTCTCGGGGCAGGGAGCTAGATAGCTTTGGTCCTTCCTCCATGTCGATGGAGAGACTTAGGACCTTTGTTCTCCAATTTAACCTCCCCAGAGATCTTGTCTATAGTCTCCCTTCCGGTGACTATCCCTGGGAGCACGATCCTGATGAGATAGTGATCTTCCAGGAGCAGCTCATTGCTGGCCTCCATCTTCCTCTGCATCCTCTGATAGTGGAGGTTTTGAATCACTTCAACATCACTGTTGACCAGCTTCACCCCAACTCCATCCGAAATGTAGTTGGGAGTATCTCTTTATTTTATGAGTACTGTCTTCCCCTTAACCTTGACATCCTCTCCACCATTCTTTGCATTAAGAATGCTTCCCCCGGAGCGCCTCCAGAAAGGCGTTCCTACTATTTTTCTCCCCGCCACAGCTTCAAGCTCTTATACGAGCTGTCGAACAGGATCCCGGCCTGGAAGCGGGACTATTTTGTAGTTCGTAACCCCGAGGGGTGGCCCTTCCCAACTCTAGAGGACCGCCATCCAGGATTCGGGGGTCGACTTGGATCCCAAAGTTCGGTAAACGCTGCAGTCCTGGGCAGCAGTTGGCTTTCATTGGTCGGATTACTTGACCGAGGACAAGCTCATGCAGGCCGGCCTGAGCCCGGGTAGGTTGCCTTTTAGGTCGCGTAGTGCCTTGTAAATTTTTTTTTACTGGACTAACACCTTGTGACTTTTGGCAGCCATCATGTCTGGTGTAGACGCACGCCGCCTTCTGTCCAGCAACTAGAAGCGCAAGGCGAAGAGGTTGCGTCCTGACCGAGCTTCCACTTCTGGGGGCGCTGAGTTCGAGGCTGTTGACCCGGCCTTCACTTCTCCACCGCCTGAGGTTCCACCGGTCCCATTCGATGAAGTTGCCACGGAAGGTGGCCTTGAAGAAGGCGAGCTCCCGGCGCAAGGGCGGTTCCCTTCGCGAAGGGGTCGGAAGGCAGTATCCCACGAGGAGGTTGCCTGCTGGGGAGAGATGGACCCCAAGCAGCTCGCCAGGCTAGCCTCCGCTCACTGTATGGTGGTAGTGGCTACTTTTTTCCTCTTTTTCCTTCTTCCTCTTCTTTTTTTTCTGACCTCGGCCTTTTGTTGGCAGGTGAACTCTGCCATCCACGTCATGGACCTCCAGACCAACATTCACTCCGGCGATGCTCTCGCTTAGAGGTCAACCGTGCAGAAGCTCCAGGGCGAGCTCGACCGGGCCCGAGGTGAAGCCCTTCAGGCTCGAAAGGGGAGCGAAGCCCAGGAACTGCTCATCTGGGACCAAGAGGCGCAAATCACCCGACTATTCGAGGAGAGTGCTCGCTACCGGGAGGAGTCGTCGAGGGTGGCAGTGGAGAGGGAGCTTCTTCGCCAGCAGGTTTGAGACTTGGAGTCCACGCTTCAGGACTGAACTCGGAAGTTCGACACCATGGTGGAGGCCGAGTGGGCTAAGGCGGTGTGGGACTTCAAAGACTCCCAGGAGTACCACGACCTCCAGGTGGAGTATGGCTCGAGCTCCTACCGCTCTGGATTTAAACTCTATCGCTGGTTGATTCGGAAGAAGTTCTCCGGGCTCAACCTTGACGGAATTACAATGAAGGGTCTGGATCCTGAGACGGCAGACCTAGCGGAGGAGGAGGAGCCTAACTCTCTGGAGGATGATGAGGATGTGGAGGCGGTGGATCCCTGAGGCCGATGGCTGCTCTTCTATTTTTTGTTTTCTCTGAATGGATTCTGGTGGTTCCCGGGTATTAGAACCCGATTTTAAATATCTCTTTTTGATGAACTCTCTTGGGCGGTTGGGCCCTACTTTTTATTTGTTTTCTATTGAACTTTTCCCAGGTTGTTAAGCCCGGTTTTTTGTTTAAATAAATTAGTAATGAAATATTTTTTCTGCTAAGCATGGTGTGCTCTTTACTTTCTACCGAAGCGATTTTATCACTCGAGCTGTTAGAGCTACATACCCGAAGTAG